ATGAGATCAGAGAAATGGGACGCCATCTAGGCAACAGAGGAACCCAACAAGAGAGGGGTGAAAAAAAGGGCACAACACTGTCAAATCCTGCAGTGAAATCAAATTGGAAAAATACTGACCCATGTGCATGAAGACCTCGCAGAACTTTCCTCACGTGATACATAATGAGTGAGCGAAAATGCATAAACACCAGGAAAACGTCACCAAGAGTAATTGATGAATAACAAATGGTAAGGATTATTAGTGTTTCCCATGGACCAGATCTAGCTCACAGAAAAGGCAGAGCTGGCTCTTCAGGCCAAGTCAAGTCCTATCCAAGAGGGCCACCTGGTGGTGAGGTCATCCCAGCAGAGATGCTAGGAGAGCTGCCATCCACCTAGGAGCTACAGCAGCTGTGGGCAGCCAGCCAAAAAGATAAGTTTGCAAATATTGAAGAACTGTGATAGGGAGTTAAAACCCCAACAAGGGAGCTGGGATTCCCTAAAGAACACCGTCCAGTTTCCCTCAAGAGAAAAGGTCAACTTTAACCATCAGCCAAGCCCAGGAAGCTCTTGGGTATCTGGTGATCAGAGCAGTATCAGTCAGGCAAGAACCTTCCTGGCCCCTCTCTCTCCTCCCCCTGTAGCCCCATCCTGGAACCAGAGGCAGCTGGCAGCTGGAACAGAGAAGATGCTCTCCTTTCTGGGCCAAGTGGGAAAGAGAAGGAAATCCAGCATTCAAGGAAATAAGCCTTCCAATTATTGAAATAAGATCGTTTGCATAAACAGAAGGAACAAGAGAACTTCTTATTGTCCAAACATCATTCTAAAAGTCAATGGCATCTGCCAGAGATCTCATACCAGGAGGAAGGGAAAAGACAGCTCCACAGAGACTATTAAAGGGTACCAAGGAAAGGATTAGAGTTGTCTTCTAAATGTATCCTGTGAGTACTGCTTATTCAACAAGAATTACACAGAGAGATAGAAAAAGACAGTAAAGAAAGACTTCACCTAAAAAAGAGAGCATCCCAATATAAGGACATGCAGGGCCTGCAAGACCACCTGGAGGAACCATTAAATGAGCTGCTGAGTTTTTGGCTTTAGTAAATGTTTCATTTACTATCTTTTCTCAGTAACATTTATATCAGCTCTCCTTACTCAAAAGTGAAATCATTCATTAACAGGTAATATTGAAATATCTAATCTTCATATGAACACCACAAGGAACTTTGACCAGAGGGTGGAAAAAGTAGTACAGAGAAGTGGAATTTCACTGCCAAAATCAGAAAGTGAGAGCAAGAGAGACCAGCAAGCCAAAGGAGACAAAACCAGGAAAGCACTGACAACAATAATAAGTCACATGTATAGGAAACATGTATTGGGGGCTCCTTACATGTAGAATCTCATTAAATCTTCACAGCAACCTCTGAGTACAGTGAGACAAAATGGTAGATGAGAGTGTAGGCTTTGTACTTACAAATGTGCCTGGAATGTTATAAGCACTCAATATAAGTTACATATTAACACAGGTCCTATTAACATAGGTGCTAACATGTTAGCATGGGTGCTATTATTATCACATTTTATAGGTGAGGGAATAGAGACTTAGGAAGGTTAAGTAAATTACTGGGCATCATTTGGCAAGTGAGGTGTGAAGGCAGGATTCAAATCCAGGGCTCTGACTCCAGAGTCCTCATTCTTAACCTGGAAACTTTGACATTCACTCATCTCCCCTTGACCTCTCTGTCTCTGAGACCCAGCAGCCCAAGAAGCCTGTTCTGTATTTCATCTAGGCAGCACCTCACTGCCAGCCAGCTACCAACCAGACCATAAGGCAAAGGTGGGGTTGATAGCTGGGATACTAAATGTAACACTGCCAGGAGCCTTGACCCTTACAGGAGCATTTTAAGGACTGAAAAGATGATGGAAAAATGTCCTGATGTCAGTCCAACAAATAATATAGTGCTTTTATTTGATGGGATTTTCTTAAACAAGAAATGGGAGAGGAAAAAAGGAGAAAAAGATGACAACAGACAAGAAATAGACAGCAAAAATCGCATCTTTTGATATCACTGTCACAAATGGCTGCCTTCTCCATATCCAGATTGCTGGCTTTGACGCAGAGTTGAATAGCAGCAGGTGGAGCTGGGTCTCCTGAGGTGGGTATGGAAACTGCTTAACAGCTTTGGAGAAAGAGCTCAAAATTATGGAGGAAAGAAAATGAGCAGAGGAGTGGGCTACACCAAGACAATGGGTCTAACATCAATTAATCCCCATGACAGGGGGTTAAACTTTGACCCACCCTTCCCTTTTATTTGGGTTTCTATTGTATATGACAATCTTTATGAATATTAGGATTTCCCATTCTCCCCAGTATATTTTCTCTTCTCTCCCCCAAGCCTTTCACTGAACCAGCTCATCTTTATACACTCAGGAAACACATTGGGCTGAAATGAACTCAAAGTGTCTGATCTGCCCAGTGGTACAAGGGCCAGAGCCATTTCTCCAACAATCATTCGCAATGCTTCATTGCAACCACACTCAACATTCTGACACTCAACCCATCTTCTAACAAACTTGTTCTGTTTCCTCAGCACCCATAAGTATACAAAACACCTAGGAGTCATCTTTCTTAACTTTCTTAATTTTTCATTAACCAAATCCCATAAATCTTCTTCTCTGATAATATTCCTTTCATTGACACCCTCTTTCTTCCAGCATTACTGCTTCCCTTCACACTTGGAGATTTTTAGAATTTCTTTGAACAGGCTAGTTCAACTTTTGCTCCACCAATCCATCCCACATTTTGCTGTCATAAATATATTTCAATACCTTAGACATAGTCATATCCCAATTTTAACCAAAAGGCACCCGATTCATTGGTGAATGACTGCCAAGATGAACTTCCTGGAGTTAAGATCAAGGCTCTGTGTGTCTGAGCCCCATTTGCCATTCCCAAATGGGTAACTCCTGTTACCACCCAAACATGACACTATTCCAGCCACAAAGACCCTGGCCAAGCCTTTGGAAAGGCAAGGAAGAAACTTTCTCAGAGGCAAAGCTTTCAACTCTAAGACAGGATCTAGGGTTAACCTACTAGGTCAAGACTGATTAGGAGCATCACACTCAACTTCTTTACAACAGGCCATGTTTGTTTAGCTTGGATATCAAGAGGAAGCCACCCCGTGATTGAAAGGAAAAATTGCAGATCCCAACAAACAGTGATTTATAGGCAGAGACATTGAGGAAAAGAGCCAAAATCACCTTTGGACTTGGTCCAGGGCATATGGGGTGGTGAAAAGAGGCTTCAGAATCTTATATGAGAACAATAGTGAGGAAAGGAGAGTCAAAATGGCTGTGATCAATCTGGAGAGGCTGTCCTAGAAAGAGGGGGAAGGGGCAAGTTCAAAGGAGCTAAAATTGAGGAGGCTGGGGGAGCAAGAGAGACCACTTGTAAATGGAGCTTTTCTGCTGCCAGCAACAAGAAGCCTTCCTGTCCTTAGGGTTCAGTGGTCTTTACTATAGCCTGATTTCACCAGCACAAATTTTGAGGGACCCAGGGAAAGGACAGGACAGCAAAGAGGGTGATTAATCACAATCCATTCTACTGTTCAAGGGCTTGACTTGAGTTGAAGGCTCTGGGATCACACAACAATCACTACTTGATGATGCAGTGATGAGGTCACAAGTGGGGCTCCCCTTCCCCCCACTGCTGGCTTTCTCATTGCTGGGCAGAGGAACCAGAGGGAAAATCCACCTTCCCGAGCACAGCCATACCATCTACCTCACTCGACTACTTGCCAAGTCCAATACCAACACAAAGGGGTAAGTTGCATTTACAACTGGAAATGCCCCCTCGTTTACCTCTCCTTTGCTGGGAGTGACCTACAGCACCCCAGGCATTGAACAAGGATGAGATAGCCCCAATGTTCAGTCAGGGGCAAGTTTCCTCTCACTTACAGTAGCAAGAATAAGGATGCACATCACTTGAATGAGAAATTCTTAACAATTTTGGAGTTCAATTTAATGGCTTTTATCCTCAGAGAGCAATACTGATTTTAAGACTAAATTAGATAAACTTTCATTTATACTGTTAAAATAAATCAAGGTGTGCCAATTAGATCCAATTTGCAAGTCTTGTCAGAAACTGAAAGGCTCCATCATATTTAGTAGTCAAAATGCCCATAGAGGAAGACCCAGCTCAAGGCAAAACTCAACAGAGTGAAAAAGAATCCCTCCTTACAATCATATTTTGTGGCACTAACATTTATATTTTCAGAGAAATTAGAATTTTCCAGTTCATCACATCCTCTCTTGATTTCCTCTCCTACCCTAACCACTATGGGGAGGAGTTTCAAGGGAGGTTCAGGGGATCCCAGCCATGGTAGGAATGAAACTATACTTCTGCCCCAGGCCTTGAGTGAAAAAATCAATTCTCAAGGTTTTGAGGACTTAGGCTAGACACAGGATTAAAGACATGCCCGATTTCCTAAGCCCACCAATATACCCTGTCATTCTACCTCCAGAAGGATGGGGAGGTGGGCTTAAGGGAGTCTTTTAGAACCTTTGTTGTGCCATGAATGTCTTTAGCACTCTGATCAAATTTATGTACTCTTCAGAATGTTTTTAAATTAATTACATAAAATGTACAAAGTTACAGAAGACAGCAAGCATATTCATAAATACATGGTTAAACACAGTTATTATGGTTGTGGGGTGGTTCCCAGGACCCTAGGTTAAGAACTCCTGCTAGGGGCTGTGAAATGGGGACAAAAGTGAAAAAGCAGAGTAAGAATGGAGAGGTCAAGAAATGTGGTCACCAACCCACTAAAAAAACAAGAGGACAGCCCTGAGTTGAGAATTTGGTCTAGAGCCTACACACATCCTGGGAAAGCTTTCTTGAGAACAAGGATGGGCAGGAGGTGTGGGGAGCCTATACCGGCCCCCTCCCACTTTGCATTGTGGTCTCCCACATACAACCTGTCGCATATTTCTTTGCAGGGCCCAGAAAATCAAGAAAGAATGTCGAGTGATGATAAAAATAAACCTAGTGATCCCAAGACTGAGCCCAAGAACTGTGACCCCAAATGTGAACAAAAGTGTGAGACCAAATGCCAGCCTAGCTGTTTAAAGAAGCTGCTGCAACGGTGCTCCGAAAAGTGCCCAAGGGAAAAGTGCCCACCACCACCGAAGTGCCCTCCATGCCCCCCACCATGCCCCCGGCCATGCCCTCCGTGCCCTCCGCCATGCCCTCCCAAGCACTGTGTCAAGCCCTGTCCTCCCAAATGCCCACCCCCGGAGTGAGGCACCAAGGGCACCACCCAGCCCCATGCCTCCATCATCTCCACATGTTCACCATCTTGGGGCTGAGAACTGAAGCCATGAACTGACAAGTAAATGTTCCTCTGCTGTGCAAGACTTGCTTCTCCTGTTTTTTGGGCAGTTTTTGGTTTATCTGTTGTTCCAGGACTAAACCATCAAGTAGCGATCCCTGGGAAGTGATGCTAGGACCTCAGCCCTCCATGATCAACAACCTTTGAAGACAGTGTATCCTCTGACCCCACCTGCTGCATAGAGAGATGTGGAGTCTTCTGAGGGGTGCACCCAGGGAACACCCCACGCCCTGTAAGAGCACAGCCTAAGAGAGCCACAAATATGGCTGGGAAAGTGGCTAACCCCGGGGACCCAAGTGGGCATGAGGAAGGAAGAGGATGTGAGGGGGTAAGAGGAGTGGGATGTTAGGAAAGGTGCAGAAAGGCTCAGGAAAAGAACCCTATCATTTGCTTTTAGTCCCATCACCTAATGCTTGTGCACAGCTTTGAAGACAGGCTGTGGGGGGTTAAATTCCAGCTCTGCTCCCTAACTACTTTGGGACCTTAAGCAAGTTGCTTAATTCTCTGAGCCTTAGTTTCCTTCTTTCTGTTCAAAGAGTGATGGTGCTAATTGTGCTGCTGTTACAGCGTTCTTGTGTGGCTGAAGGAGTTAAAGGTCAAGTGCCTGGCTTACTGGGACATAGCAAGTTTTTGGTGAGGGGAGCACACTGCACCTGCCCAGGTGTGACACACCACACCTGAAATTAATTGCCCTGTACCAATCTTCCTCATCAGGCTGCAAGCCCCAGAGTGCAACAGTTAGGTTCTAACTTACACCTGTAAGCACGACTAGGCATTCTTTTAAAAAATGAAAAAGGAGCTGTAGATTACACTACTGGCTTTAACACTGAGCTACATTTATGTAATGTCTTACCATTGAGAGAGTTCCAGTGAATGGTGAAGTGGGATCTCTATTTTTGCAACATTTTGTTAATCTGTAAAATTTCAAAAGAAAAACTTAAGTATAAAAAAATAAATAAAAAGATAAATCTGGAAGGACCTCAATTAGGAATGAACAGGAAAAATACTCCCCATTGATATGTTAGTGGGATTGTTGACAGGTAGCTAAAGAGAGTGCACACCAAACAGCTTAATTCACCAAAGAGAATCTGTCATTTGAAATGGCTGGAAAGGATATCAGGATGAAGAGGAGGGCATAGAATTAAAGAGAAAACTATAGAAACCAGGGCTTCGGGAGCTTGGATTCACTGCCATGATTTCAATCTCCCTCATCTCTGTCAGTTTCCACTCCTTTCCAGGGTGAGTTTCCTCCTCCCCGAGGGCCCCACCCATGTGTAAGGTTCTTGGCCAGGTGCAGACCCAGTTTGTTGATGGATTGGGCATGAGATGCTCCTATTATTTCCAGGAAACAAAACTGATGGCTAGAAGGAGCCCACCCCTGTGATCCAAGGAATAAGAGCTTTCCCACACCATTACAGTCCACAACATTCAAGAGGAAATAGGTTTGGGATTCTCTGTTGTCAGAGTAAGAGGTAATGAGTGGCCAAATCTGCGGTGGCTTCATGTGCAATCATGGCACTTAAACAGCTTTCTATCCTTTTGAGTCTAGAAGATGGTTCAAGACAACGAAGGGTGCAGAGAGTCCAAAATGTCCAAGAAAACACACCTGTGATCCCCATCAGACCAAGGTCATTGCAGAAGCAGACATTTAAGACAAAAGAGCTGACAATGCCTTTAGGGTGTGTGCAATCCCCGCATTTTCCAGATGTGAGAACTGCTAGTTACTTCCTTTGACACGAGGAGGTCTTGGGGTCTTGGTCCCCTGGCAGGAATGCAGGAGCCTGACACCCACACTCCAGGGCCTGCAAAGAGGTGCCTCCTGGACACTGGGAACCTCTAGGAGCCTAGTTTGGGGTATTAGGGGGCCTGCAGTCAACTGTTCATAACAGGTTGAAAATTCTTCCACCCTTATCATCTTTCAAAAAAAAAGGGAGGGAAATGATCACTTTTAAATAACAAATCTCAGAGTCCCAGTGTTAAAAAGTATGCCAGTGTTGGTGAGAGTGTAAATAGACAAAAATCCTTTCAGAAATGGAAGGAATATGGAAGTAAGAGGGGAAAGCACAAAGCAATTCACATTTTGGCCCAATTGTTCCATGTCTTAAAAGCTATATAAGAAAAAATAATTCCAAAATGGGGATGGGGTTATATAAAGCTGATTACCACAGTGTGACTTAGAAACAAGTTAAATATCTAAGGGATTTGACTAAATATATTCAGACCTGTTACTTGATAGAATGTACTGTGATGATTAAAATGTATTAAAGGGGAAGGAAGTGAGGCTCCAATTCAATGTATAGCATAAAGCAACTATGTTTAACCAAAAACTTCTATAAATAATAATTATAATAATAATAATAGAAGGGAATTTTTCAACATTCTAGTTATTTTGGGACAATAGAGTTGCAGGTAACCAGTAGAATGTGTTTATTTGTCACTAGTCTCTGGATTTTCATTATTAAGTTTTTAGTTAGTTTGTAATAGAAAAAATAATATAGCCATGAATACTTCAGAGACCCCCAAAGTCTTTTGATTTGCTTGGTGAACAAAAAACGAGGGGGGAATGTCTTCCTACACCTGAATATACCATGTAGAACACACCATGTAGAAGGTGCCCCCACCTTGGGTGCCCTCCTGGGAAGTGCAGGATCTCATTCTCTCCCAGGCCTCCCAGTGGCTCCATGGCAGTGTCTAGCAGGGGCTGGTGCCCTCCCAGGTGGCTCTGAGGACTCAGGACTTAGACTGGGTGGCAGCCAGCTCTGAGAACGTGAAACCATCCATTTGCCAATTTATTTTTTCTCTCATGTAAATGAAACAAAAGATAGACATCTCTTAATGGCTACTTTCCCAGCCAAAAGCTGGATCAAAGGCAGTTCTGGGGAAGATGGCTAGAATGTGATGAGTGTGCCACCTCCCTAAAGAATGCCATCATTACTCCCAGCCCCAGAGGCTGTCACCAGGTCCTGTCCCAAGTAGAAGAGGGTTGTATAAATAAATAAGCAGCGCCTGAAGAGGCGGCACCCTGAGAATCTGTGCAATGCCAGGGGCATGATGGCTCACAGGTCATGTGATGGGGTAGAACCAAGTCCTCCCCTTTCATGGAAAAGCAGTTCTGGGGGTCCATTAGGATGGCAAAGACAGGAAGCTCTACCACAGACTTCCTTGCATTGAGAATAGGGCAGCATACACTTTGCAAAAGGACTTCTAAGTTCTCCCAAATCAAGCCAGCTAAGTGACTGCTGTGAGGTAGGCCAGCACTATGAAAGGGTTGTCCAGAACCCCAGGGATGTGTTAGGCACCTAGGAACTGTAGAGATCTTTCCATGCATTCCCCACCTCCACATGCCAGTGACAACTGGGGAGATGGCAGGAAGTAACCAGTAATCAATGCTTCCTATTTTCCTGTCCTGCTTCCACATAGCCAACATTCCAGCCAGAGACAGTAGCCCATCCTGGAAGGCTTTATCGACAGCGACAAGGCAAAACTGCTTCTATGTCACAGCTATTGATGCTTAGCAAATAAACAGGTTGATAATACAGTAGGTCAATCACCAAGATTCTTAAGACACAAGCTGATTGTAAAATGCATACTAATTATTTGCAGCTCCACCTGTCTCCCAGGTGCATGGAACCTCAGATGCCTCACATCCAGAGCTCTGTTTTTTCTCTCAGGCTCAAAGGAAATTCTGTTCAAACTAAGAGTTCATGGCTTTTTCTGCCCCATCATCTCTTACCTATGCTAGTCTGAGTCTCTGAACTGGCTTCTGAAGCCCCAAGCTCATTTTCCTCTGGTCCTCCTTCCAACAAAAGCCAGCCAAGGCAGTCTTGCTAAAAAATTTAAACTCTTCACCCTCTTGCTTAAAACCCTTAATAGGCTCTTATTTGCCTAAAGAACAGCTCAAGAGATTTAATCTGTCATGCAAAATTTTCAGTATCTGACCCCTACCTCCTCATCTAGCTTTATCTCACCACTTCTCTAGCTCCTTCTAGAACTTTGCAGCACAATAGCTAACTGCATTTCCTGGCACACAACAGAGAGTTTCTGGCCTTTGTGGCTTTATACTTGTTTTTCCTCTATCATCCTTCCTTTTTCCACTGAATTATTCTTTAATGATGTAATTGGGCAAGTCCTCATCTCTGAACCCAGTGCAGCAATCACCTGCTTCAAGAAACTTCTCCCACCATCCACCTGCAAACTGGTTAGATTTTCTGTGGTTTCAGAGCCTCTAAGTCTTTCTCTCCTATAATGCTTACCATGCCATATTCTGGTCATCTGGTTACACTAGATTATAAGCTGTTTGAGAACAAATGCCTTCCTAATGTAGTGGACATTCAATAATAGTAAATGAGTAAAATGCTCAGAGGCTTTGGATGCACTTTGCCAAGAGCCCCACCCACCATGATCCTCACCCTCACTACATGGTGTCATTCCCAGAATTTGGAGGTGGGAAGAGGGGAAACAAGCTGAATGTGGGTGGTTGGGGGCTGAAAGAAAGGCATCCCTGGCCTTGGTCACTTTCCCCTTAGGCAACAAGACTCAGATCTTCCCTGCCCTCCCATGGACTTAGGCAACAAGACCTCAAAAGGCAGCACAGTAAAGAGAGAGCACTTGTCATGACAGAGATAGATCCAAAGCAAGCTCTGCCCTCCCAGCTGTGCAGCCAGGAAGTTATTTCTCCTCAGTGGGAGAAGGGGTCTCAGTTTCTCCACTTGAAGAATGAGAAGAAAAGTCTCACCAAGGTTTGGAGAGGAGTGACAAAGTGAGATGAAACCCCCTGGCATGGGAAACTGAAATTAGGAAGCCAAGATACAAAAGCACTCAAGAACCAAGCCAACACTTGGAGTTATCACCCATCACCTACTGTAATGAGAGTTTCTTGCCATCTGCCATGTGAGGCTGTGGGTTTCAGGG